TTACCTCTAAGGCTGGATCGCTACTTATAGTCGCCAGGTTGTTCCAGAACATTCCATAGGTAGCTAACCCTAATTTCGTTGGAGAGCCTGGGCGAAAACGTGGAAGGAAGACGAAGGGCCGGTGGAGGGCCGTGGGCCGTGCCACGGGTCGGGGCCGAGCCACGGGTCGGGACCGAGCCCCGGGTCGGGACCGAGCCCATCGCAGCCCAGTGGCTTCCTTCCGATCTTCACCTGTACCTCGACTTTCAGTTTCCATTGCATAACAATATTTATATTAGTAAATTGGTTTTTCAAAATAAAAAACTTTTTGCAGCGAATGTGATAGAAACTAATAAATGACAAAAAGCACCGCCGAAATAAATCTTATGCATATGAATAACCAGCTAAGAAAGAATTACTAGGAAAAAAAAATACTATAGTTCGGTCTTTCAATCTTTAGTTTCGTTTCTAACTGGTCTTGGACTTTAAAACTTAGAGATCAAATAAAAAAATTTATGAGAATTTATAGTAGGTTTTCGTATTTGTCATTTCGTTTTGAAAAATAGTCAGATAGTTTTTGTTAATAAAAAAATGTTCATTTCGATTTTTTCAACAATTTTATAAGTTTGAATTTGATCATCTTATCATTTCCATTTGGTTATTATTTTTAAAATCAAAATAATAGTCTCTCCCTCAAATTCTCAAATTTGTTTCTTGTTATATTATCTCTACTTTCTACATTTTCTCTCCTAGATTCTAGAAACCAACTATCTCACTTTTTAAATATATATTTGAATATAACCTAACATAACCCAAAGAGGATGACACACAAAGTTAGGCACGATCAAGGGTTATCACGAGGGAGACAACACGAGAATTGAGCAAGGGTGACAACAAGGTAGGGATTGGACGGAATTGAGCAAGGGAGACTACGATGGAGCAATAAGGAAGGTGATATAGCTATAGGTGGGGCGGGGAGTCTTGATGGGATTAAGCAAGCTAGAGCAAGGAATACAACGGTGGAACAACAAGGCGGGTGACAAATCTGTAAGTGGGGCAGAGAGTGTGGGGCAGAGAGTGGCAGAGGGTAAAGAAGGGAGAGTTCTACGGACAATACCTTTTTGAGTTAGAATTTTTTTTAATATTTTTGTATTAATTGTATCACAAAAATAAAAATTATGTGTTCATCTTATTTTTCATGGTATATGTTTATTTTAATGTTCAAGTATTTGTTGATCATCTGTTCATCGAATTTATTCATTTGTTTGTTTAAATTTTGGTATTTCTATTTTTAAAATGATTTTTTTTTCAAATTTTGTTTTAGATTTTAAATTAATTAATATTTTTTCCTTAGATTTGTTAGTATAATTAATTCTCTTGAAAAAAATATTTGAATTAAAAAATATAGGTAAGATTTTCAAAATATTTGAATGATTCATTTGAAAAATATAGTATGATTCTCCTGATAAATAATATATTCATTTAAAACTCATGGAGGCTAATTTTTTTAAAAAATTAGCAGAGATTTTATAAGTTGATAATTCTTCGCAATTGAAAGTTGTTTGACCATTTTTTAAAATGACTTATTTTAAAGAACTATATCTTTGTTAGCCCAAACTTATAGACCTAAGTTTGGTTTCAGAAGAATCATATGTTCTTGGAATTAAAAATAGTAATATGAAAATATGGGGAAAGAGATTAAATTGCATTTATTATAATGTAATCGGACACCTACGAGTCATCATAAAGAAAATACACAACTAGTTAGAAACTTTTGTATTTAATACAACAAATGTAGAGATAGGAGATCGAATTCCCGACCTCCAAAGGAGTAAGGTACCTCGACGAATATGCTCATGCTGCTGATTAAAGGAAACTAAAAGCTCCTAAAGGAAGTATGTTTCTTTGTTGAGCAGTTCCTATTTCATTTTCTTTCCATCATCTGTATTCAGTATTTTTCTTGAATTCATTATTCTTCATGGTATTTGAAGAATATAATTCCATATCGGATTGGGTAATCCACATGTCATCTCTGTATCTCTGATATATGGCGCCTTTGTAAAAGCCTCGAGTTCTATAAGCCAATGCGAGTGAACTTATTGCTCCAAACAATGTTATTGTTGCCAAAATTGTGAAAGAGCCGTTGAAGCAATGAGCTCCACTGCAAGTGAGCCCCTTACCGTTCTTGGTATTTCCAGTTCTAGTGGCTTCCATATCATACATCCTACCTATTAGAAGCACATTTAGGACATAAGATCCAAGCGGCACCGCCAGTTGCCCACAATTGAGCAGCGTTGAGTAGTGCTTGAGGCCAAATAGATCAGAGATTATGGCGAATAACAAAGGAACTTGGGCTCCAAACCCAAACCCAATGATCAGTGAAGCCACGTAGACCGAACCATGATATGGAAAGGCGATGAAGAGTATGCCAATGCAGGTGAGGAGATGGGCAAGGGCGAACATGAGAGGACGAGGTAATTTGTATTTGGTCATTAGCGTTTCGGAGATGAAGCCAGAGAAGACCCGACCGAAGAAATTGAATATGGAAATCCAAGAAACGAAGACGCTTATGGATTGAGCAGGATAGGAAAGTGATTCTGCAATCTGTCCTAGATTGTCGATGGCTGCAATGGACGACCCACATGCACAAACGGTTGCCAAGAAAATGAGAGCCATGTCTTTGCTGAGGAGAGCTTGCAAGATGGTGAAATCTTCCCCTCTTTGTGGCTTAGAAGGG